ACCTCCTATGACATGGGCCCCCCCCAAATCTCTGGAAGCTCACTTGGGGCAGCCCCCCAAAAAAACGAGATCTCACGAAGAATGGGTGGTGGTAGGGAAGGGAAGGAGAGGGAAGGAGCGTAGCGAAACGAAGGAAGTGGAGGGGGGCGGTGGCCAAAAAGAAAACTGCCCTAGCCTTCTGGGCCCTGCTCCGGGCAGACTAAACTCGGAGGATTCATCGGGGGGGTCCCATTCATAACAAAGGGAAGACAATCAAGAAGCAGAAGGAGATCAAAGGACAACCCAAAACCACAAGGGGAAGACGACACTAACGGAAAGGGGGGGGGATGAGGAAGCACGCGAGTCAGCAATGGTCAATATTGAGAACGCGGTGGTAAACGACATGGAAGGAGTGATTAATGACAACTCGCGGCCCTCGCATACGGAGGTGTATCAGTTGAAACAAACAGAGGGGCCCCAAAACCAAAGATTGCGACTGAAGCAACAGGCAAGGGCACAACCGCCGCCACTAAGCGAACAGAGGGCACAGACCCCAAAACAACAACCCTCACAACATTCGACACAAGGCCAGCAATAGACGGAGTGTAGAAGCATGCCTACACTCGCCCCTGACTTATGCTCAGATGCCTTTGAAACACAACCGATGGAGGTAGACATTACCCCCCCCCCTCCGGACGTAGAGATGGAGGAGGCGCTGAAGGACCCAGCTGACCCGGATGCCCCCCCCAAGGAAATGGGCCTGGACCAAAAAATCCAAGTCGTGACGGACTGGATAATCAAACACTTGCAGGCCGAATTTCCCCTCGAAAGCGAGCAATACTGGGATTGCTCCTATGTCGAGCTTGTCACCCTTCTTAATAACAGCCCGACACTCAGGAATGCGTTGACTTCTGGCCCTCCTGCTCATCTGACGTGGGCAGAAGCATTTCAACGCATACTTGCCGTAGCAAGAGGCCGCTTCCGCCCCCCCCCCCCACCAAGGAGTCCCCCGGCCCAAGCCAAGGCCCTTCGGTTCAGGAAGGGCACACCCAGGCCGCCCCCGCCGAGGAAAAGGAAAACACGGCAGGCGCGGAAAGCATGGATGGATTGGACGAAGGATTGACTTCCCGAAGACTCAAGATCAGACAACTCATCGAGCGGGGGCTTTTCGAAACGCCCCTGTCCAAACAGAAGGGAGTACTGGTGGCCCCCCTGAGGAAATCCGATGGGAAATGGGAGATAGGCCTCTCTCCGATTGGAGAACATGGGGGCGTAACACTACAGTGGTGGGAGTTCTCGCCGGAGGAGGGAGAGGACGGGGACAAAGCCTTTACCGACCAAATGCGCACCTTTATCCCCTCTCACTATGCACCAGGCGCAAGAGCGGGAGTGCGATTGCTGGGAACTAGCGACTATCAAATGGCCAACAACGACCTCTTCCTGCGTCTTGAAACTAACAAGACAGCCAACCTACGTTGGTTTAACCACAATGCCTTGCTGGATCTCCAATGTGCAAAAGTTAAAGCCAGCAAGTATTGGTCAGAGGATGATATATGTACGTGTCTGTGCAAGATGGTGAGGAAGAAAACTCTACTCCTGAATAGATGGGATGACAAGCCCTGGCACGCACTGTAAATAAAGAAGACAATGGACGATCTAGAAACATTATATTGCAAGAACCCGGCATGGCAAAAATGCGTTAACTCAGCCGACCTGGATTTACGATCTATTAATGTAAATGGTCTTGCATCGAGCAAACCTGAAAAGCGCCAGACCATCTGGGACTAGCTTAGAGGAGTAGGAGGCAGGCGATGGCCGGACGTAACCTGCGTCCAGGAAACCCACCTACAAGACACCCCGGAGCATAACAGAGCACATAAGATGGTTTGACCACACACAGCCATTAGAGCCCACGCACCCAGACCAGGTTCTGCCGGCGTAGCAGTCTGGGTCCCCCCGGACTCCAAATTTCAGCCGGCCCACTGGGCCGTAGACGAGGAAGAGGGACGGTGGGTATCGGTCCTCGGCATGCTGGAACTGGAGCTTTTGTGCATACTTTGTATTTACTCACCCAACACTGTCAGCGAACGAAGGGAATTTCTGGGGAAACTGGCCACACATGTGCCGGAAGGCATTCCCCTCGTCATAGCAGGGGACTTTAATGCGACCCCAGACCGGACTTTGGATAGATGGAACGCCCAAGAATCCCCTTTCTTCGCAGTGGCAGAAGATGAACGTATGATAGCCGAACTCTGAGAAACACTTTCAATCTTCGATACCTTTCGTCGACTACATCCCCAGACGCGAGCCTTTACATGTGTAAGGGACAACGACCCGGCGCGCCTGTCCAAATCCAGGATTGACCTCATCTTTATATCCAACGACCTCGAAGGAGCATTGCGCTGGTCGTTAATCCTCCCGCGGAGCCCGCACCCAGGACTAGATCACAAGACATGTGGAATAGTACTGACAATGAGAAAGAGGCCAGATCAGGGGCCCGATTTTTATAAGCTAAACACCTCCCTTCTTAAGGACGTAACTTTCACCCAGATGATCCGCGACGAATGACACTTTTGGCGTCGACAAAAGCATCTGTTCAACTCACACATTACATGGTTCAACAATGGACTAATCTATCTCGCAAAAAAATGCAAGGATCTCTCCAAAGCAAAGGCATCCCAACGACAACAACAAGAGATGACTACCCATAAGGAACTAATAACCTTGGAACAACAGGCAGATTCACAAGTTCTTACTACCACCATCCAATATATTAAAGACCGCCTCTTACAATTCACATTACATAGATGACAAGGAATTAGAATTCGAGGAAAACTGTCCAAATTTACTCAGGAAGCTACTATGGACACCCATTTCTTCTCCATAGCCACAACACGGGCCAGACGGACTGTCATAGAAGCCCTCCTTGACCCGAACGACGGAGAAACCATAGCCACTGACATAGCACACTGCACACTCATTACTAGGACCTTTTTCAAAGAGCTATACACATCCCAGATACCATCCACACAAACGGACAGAAGAGACAAGGAAGTGAAGGAGTTCTTAACACCAATGGATCGGCACCTCTCCCCACATCAGCGGGAGCAGATGAAGAAAACCCTGTCTAAAAACGAAATCTGGACAGCACTCCTCCAAATGAAGGAGGAAAAAACACCCGGCATAGACGGACTCCCCAAGAAATTTCGGGAAACGATGTGGCCGGATCTGAATTCGGACTTATGAGAGTATTATCAGGAGGTGTGGAACGCCGGGGAGATGGGAGAAATTGTGGGGAGAGGTGTGTTATCATTGATATATAAAAAAGGAGACAAAATGAACATTAGAAACTATAAACCAATCACTCTGCTCACAGTAGTCTATAAAATAGTTACCAAAGCATTGGGGAATCGTATGGCATCCGTCCTAGAAGATGTCATTCACCCGGCCCGGACTGGATTCATGTCCGGAAGGAATATACAAGAAAATATCTTACTAGTTAATGAGGTGATCCAACTAGCCCAACGGAATAAGGCGAACGCGGTCATTATATTCATTGACTTCAAAAAAGCATACGACCACGTTGACTGGGCATTCCTGGACAAATGTCTGGAAAGAATGAACTTTGGTCCTGTCTTTCGACGTTGGGTTAGGATCCTCCATCAAAACGCCACCACCTGTGTGCAGGTAAATGGGTCGATAGCGCCCCCCTTCGAGCTTCAGCGGTCGGCAAGACAAGGGGACCCCATCGCGCCCTACCTTTTTGTGGTAAT